CACCGAGAGGATATGACCAATGAGGAAAAGACCCTTCCGTTAATGCAAGAGGTTGGGTCATCCTAGAGGTACTCATGACATGGAGACTCCTTCATTAATGCAATAGGTCGAGTCTCTAGAAGTAATCTTCCTATCCTTAACTATGTGACCCCGTATAGTAGCTAGTATGTAAATTCTACCTTGGCAGGTGGAACACCTTTTTTCTGTGTGGGACTTTATGACACCGGATTTCATGTAAGCTCTCATGGTCTATGCCGGTTATGGTTGATCTTCCCTATGTAATGAAGTAATGAATGAAGTATGAACTAACTAAGTAGAAGTGGGGGTATGAGACTTCACTTGTACATTGCACTGGTAGAGTTAGAAGTTGCGGGAGGTTCCTTATAGTTATGAAATGATATGATAACATATATGTTGAATGGATAATTGTTATAGTAAGAATATCATTGTATTCAGTTGTGGTCTATGATGCATGTGCTTCACTTATGACTATGAGAAGTGATAGAATATAAAGTTAACATTTGTGTGACCAAGGTGGTTTCTAAGGGGTGGTTGGTGGGGTTGGTATTATGGGATGCTAACTCCACATTGCACAAGTGGATCTTAGGAAGTGCTAAAGTCATGCCTTCAATGTAATTTGACACTATTGGGGGTTTGCCTTGTGTGTTATGTTGATAATGTGAAAGGCTTTCAAAAACTTCATAAATGCATATTTTCATATAAATGTCCATTTTTCATGTTTTAAAGGTTTTTATGCATTTCTTAATACTTAGGGAATTAATTGTACTAACCCCTCTCTCCTTTTCTATTATGAGTATAGGTTCCGACTAATTGGGTTGCTTCTAAATCCTTGAAGAAAGCTTGGACTTTTTATTTCGAAGACTTGTGGTAGGTCCTCAAAGATCCGGGGAGTAATACACTTGATGCATTTTATGATTTCTCTATTGATGTAATAGACTCAGAAGTCTTTTCTTAAGTACTTTTGTTCTAAAGGACTATTGTTTCTAAAGGGCTAAGGACCCTATTTGAGGACTTTATGTTGTACTCGTATTAGTAGATGGTGTATGTGTAACAATGATATTAGATTCTTATTATTTTGTTTTATGAAAAGGAAGTTTTGAGCTTCTATTATTAAAATGTTTTAAATTCCGCATTATTTCAAGTTCATTATGAAGTGACGATTATCTAAGGGATCGTATAAGACCTCTTTGAGGTCGATTACGCCGGTAACGTCTAGAGGGTACTCTCTGATAGTTACAAAAAGCTTCCAAAAATTAATTTCAAACCATTATCTAATATATTGATATAACAGAAAAAAATTCAAAAAAAATGAATATTTTTTTAGTATCAAATACGATAAAAAAGAATTAAAAATTTTATGCAGGGGGAATGGGATAAAATAAGTTAAAAATAAGAAAAAACATCAAGCCAATGGAGGAGTTCGGGACCTATTTGAATCATTAAGAGATATAAATGACCAAAATAAACCACAATTTTTTAAAATAACTAAAATAGACTTAATATAATTTTTCCTTCCGTTTTGCCCAAAAATACAAACTGCAGGTGTTAGTCGATTAACGTTTATATATTAACATAAAAATGATTTTTTTTTCACTTTAAAAAGTGTAAGTTTTTTACAGTTAATAAGAAAAGTAAACTTTCCCAGAATTTCCTATTCACGGTACTACTCTAATCAACTTCATCTGACACCCTCAATACATATTTTATTAGTTTATTTAGTTGTTCTCCTCAAGTCTAGATGACTATTTTAATAAACATTAGCACTTATTTTAAGAGAAAAAACACGCTTTTGTATATAAATGAAATTTAAATAAATTAGAATAACAATATTAATTCAAATCTTTCACAAGTTTATTTATCGAAAAAGGGCTTTAAATATCTTTAAAGTATTAGAAATTGTATAAAACTATCATCCATCAACCTTTTGGCTCCAAAATATCCTTCTCACCCATCTATTTGCTCCAATATACCCTTGTCATGCACCTTTAGATTCAAAAATAATCACTTATTTAACAATTATAAATTTAAACTATTTAAATATCTTTTTTAAATATATAGAGCTCAACTATTTGTTATAATTTCACTTATTAATATTATTTATAAATTAATTCATTATCCACCCATTACTAATCAAACTTCATCCAATTAATAAAATACGACTCATTACTAATGCAACAACAGGAGAGCTATTGTCAATAAGTGTTTCTAAAAATTCGAGGCTAAAATATCTATAGAAGTACATTATCATACATTCAAGTCATCAATCAAAACATATTATTATTCAAGTGTCTAAGAGCCTGTTTGGCTCAGCTTAAAAGCTGGTCAAACTGACTTAAAAGCTGGTTTTTGACTTATTTAGCTGTTTGGCAATACTCAAAACAGCTTATTTTAAGCTAAAAAAAACTTATTTTAAGCCAAAAGTTAAAAGCTGGGGCAGGGGTGCTTTTTTTTTTTAGCTTATAAGCTGTTTTAAATTGACCACATTTTTATCTTTTTGTGCTTATTATTTTTGTACAATCTCCAAATTACCCATATAACCCTAACATTTCTTTCTTCCATTTTTTCCTTTTCACGTTTGACATAACAACTTCAACACTTTTATCCAAACGCATAACTGCTTATTTTAAAAATAAGTTTCAGCACTTTTAAAAGTACTTTTTTAAAGTTGCTTTTATTAAGCCCATCCAAACGGGCCCTAAGAGCCTGTTTGGCTCAGCTTAAAAGCTGGTCAAACTGACTTAAAAGCTGGTTTTTGACTTATTTAGTTGTTTGGCAATACTCAAAACAGCTTATTTTAAGTTTAAAAAAACTTATTTTAAGCCAAAAGTTAAAAGCTGGGGTAGGAGTGTTTTTTTTTTAGCTTATAAGCTGTTTTAAGTTGACCACATTTTTATCTTTTTGTGCTTAATATTTTTATACAATCTCCAAATTACCCATATAATCTTAACATTTCTTTCTTCCATTTTTCCCTTTTCATGTTTGACATAACAACTTCAGCACTTTTATCCAAACGCATAACTGCTTCTTTTAAAAATAAGTTTCAGCACTTTTAAAAGTACTTTTTTAAAGCTGCTTTTATTAAGCCCATCCAAACGGGCCCTAAGTAAAAATTACTGATAAGCTTCAAAAGTCTGACTATATTTATCTTAATTATTTATTCGTCTCAATTATGTGATGTTATTTAATAGATAACTTTTTATAAAAATAATATATGAAAGTTTTAATATTTAAATCAAATATTAAATATTCATAAAATTATATTTTAAAAAAATGCATGAATTTATTCGGGTTGTACTACTTCTTTACCTTTAATAATAAATTTCAAATTCAAGCTTGAAAGAAAATCATATTGAAAGTGTTCTCCTAAATAAGCGGCTAAACCTTAATTTAATTGGGACTTCAATTCGGACTCGAATAATGTTGGATGTCATTTTCAGGATTCAATAATTTCGTCGTTTTTAGTAGTGTTTAGGGCGATTTTGTTATTAGAATTGATTTATTAATTGGGTGGGTTAATTAGTAATGAGTGTGCAGTAAGTTGGTTTATAAATAATATTGATAAATAAAGTATATCCAATAATTGAGCGTCAAGTATTTTAAAATAATATTTAAATAGTTTGAATTTAAAAATATTAAATAAGTGAATAATTTTAATCCAAAGGTAGATGACAAGGATATTTTAGAGTGAATATATGGATGAGAAGGATATTTTGGAGTCAATAGATGGATGGACGGTAATGTTATACCATTTTCAATTTTTCGAGAATATTTTATACCCTTATTTATTTATTTATTAATCATGGATCAATACATATAAGACGAGAAAAAATTGTAGAATCGAATTGTTGGGTTGTTAGATTGTGCTATGTATCGCCAATCTTTTGAGAATTCAATTGTTCTTATGGAGAGATTAATTTGTCGGATCAGGACCAGTGAAGAATTATAAAATTGATTTTGAGAAGATGAAAATAAAAGGAAAGTGAAAATTTTTGGAAAAAGATAACTTTTCAAAGTGAAAAAAAAAATCATTTTATGTCAAAATGCAGACGTTAACATACTAAAGTTTGTCGTTTATATTTTTAAATAAAATCGAATTTAAAAATAACACTAATCCTAATTTAGTTAATTATAACTTATTTTGATTATTTTTATCTCTTTATTGCTCAATAGATTGCGTTTTTCCGAGGTAGTGGGTTGAAAAAGTGTTAGATGATTTACTCAAATTTACGGTGCAACTGCCGCGCCCTACCTCATTTATCATCCCTAGGCAAATGACGTTGTGTACCAGATAGATTTCAATTAAAAAAAAATGCGTCCTGATCCAGCCAACAGTTGAAGAATTATGTCAAACGTGTCACCCTACATACGTGTCCAAGTTTCATTGGTTGTTATGGTCGAAGTGGCAAAGATTGGGAAATGCCTTTAGCACGTCATAATTAAATTTTTCAGAGATCTTTGTGTTGGGTTAATTGATAAGGAGATATTTGTCAAAATGTTATTGAGTTTTCATTTTTTCTCCATCTATTTTTTAGTTCGTAAAATAAATAATATTTTTTGGAAATTCGTTAATTCATATTTTTTGTGAAATATTGAAAACAATAAGATTAAAAAATATTTTAATGTATTTGATATTTCTTTAATTTAAAATAGCATATTTCAAAAATATTCTTTAATTTTTAAATTTGATGGCAAATATAAATAGTTCAAGCTTATTTTATTTTAGCATTTGAAAAGTAAGTGAAAGTGTTGTCATAAGAATATTTATATATTTAATTTAACAAAACATTTTCGGGATAAAAATAGAATTTGAAAAGTAAATGAAAGTATCGTCACTTATAAAACTTTTTTATTTCTTATTTGTTTAGAATTTCCGTACTTTCTCAAAGAAAACATTTTAAGCAATCCAAACATAAAACGAAGCTAGATGATTGTGTTGAGAGCACCCAATCATATCATGCGTGATGGGGTGCAGTTGTCAATTCGGAGCAATGTCATTCATGCACTATATTTTCCCATAGACATGTAACGTGTTCATCATACATTGAGGAAATATTCACAAGGATAATGTTACTTCACGGATGAAACAATGAACTACTGTTTCTACATCTCTCAAGGAATAGTGCAATGAGATAGGAAAACATCAAGGCACAGAAATTTTGAGCTTCCTTCTCTCTACGTAATAACTAAAAATATACATCCATCCTCAAGTTGTTCCCTGCGGATCACCTTTCCAATATCCTCAATTCGTTCCTGCATCCATAATTCTCTAAACATTTCCAGGAAGGAAGCTTCCATCTGATGACGTAAACCATTCAAGTGTTTAAATTGCTTCAGAAAAGTTTCCAGTCTGCAATTAAAAAATCAAGGAATGGAGTGAAGACAAATTCTGGGACTACATCCTGGAAAATCACATATAAGGGGGCAGAGCAGAGTGTCTCGAAAACCCCCACCAGCCATTCTTGACAAGAAAAGACGACCAGTGGGAGAACAAAACAAAATGCAGTATAAAGCCAGATTATTACGGTAAAACTTAAAAGATGAGTATGAATGTTCAAAAATAGAGATAGGTAGGTTGAAACAGGTTCACCGAGCAAGTTAAGATGATTTCTTCTTGTATAACAGGTTTCTTATGAGTACCTTCGTTCATAGGTATACTAAGGTTTCCTTCCAAATTAACAGAATACTTGTGACTTAATCCAAGCAAAGACTTGAGAAACTTCAATATGCATCCATTGTAACACTTTCTAGACAGATGAATTGAAAAAATCATGACAATGCTTAACAAAGAAACACTCTTAGAAGCCCTCATACTGTGAAGCTATTTGTTGTTCTTGGAAAAGAAACAAGTCAACAACCATACGTGAGATCATCACCTCATACAGCTCCTCAGAGGTCACATATAAATCTAAGAACCTACTGTAAACTCAGTAATCGGAACCATACGTAAGAGGAATTATAAGTACCAAGAACTGTTGAACCTTCCCTGCTTTAGATTCACAAGAAATAATCCATAATTCCTTCGACAGATTACATTTTCAAAACCATACATGTCTTACCTCTAATCTGTATGCTTATATGACTATGTAGCAAATGCAACTCAACACAACAACAACATATGAAGTTTGATCCCATAAAAACGGGATTTGGTGAGGAGGGGTCTAGCAGACCTTAAGCGTACTGAGGGTAAGTTAGAGAGGTTACTGGGGATAAGACCATCTGTTTGAGAAAAGCATTTTCAAAATAGGTTTTGAGATATGTTGAAAAAATATGAAGAAGAGTAAACTATTTACAACAAAAAAAAGAGATCCAAAGTAAAAAAGGAATAGCAGCAGTTGTAAAATGGAGGAATGATAATACTAACACAATAGTAGTGAGACTGCTAAATGCTAATGGAAAGGGGAAGCGAATTAAGTATTATAAACTAGCACCAAGCAAATGCAACTCTAACAATGATAATTTACTTTAACAGCTTAAGAGTACATGATGAAAAGTCTTTTCATTTTAAAGCCTCATTTACATCCAGAGCGAACTTGCAAGAATAAACATATGAAATATGATACTCATTTTGACCTTGTGCCTATTAGCGATATACTTCCGACTATTTCTGCTAAAGCCATGTGAAAATATCAAGCAATACGATGACCTGATCATAAAAAAGGTGGTGTTATGCAGTTTGATATATGCAAAAGAGAATCCCAAAGAAGACAGGTCAAACTTAATTACTGTGAAATCCGCAATCAACTACTACTCTACTTCTAAACATAAAGCCCTTAAACAGAATTCTTACAACTAGAAGTAATCCAAACCTTCTTCTGATTAGAACCTTGAGTTAACTATGGTCGTATTTGATTATTCACATAGTACGTAAATACGCATAAAATGCAGTAACTTGTGCAACTTTACAACAAGAACATATCCAATGTAATTCCACAAGTGGATTTGAGGTGGATAGTGTGCATGTAAACCTTAACCCTACCTTGTGAGGTTTTTTGATAGACAAGTATTACAAAGCAGTTTGTAAAAAAGAAAACAACCTGAACTATTGCGAATTCCTCAAAAGGAAATTGATATCTTCACAGTAGGGAAAAAATACAAGAAGACTTTAAGGGACAAAGGTGGTAGCTCCAACTTATCCAGATACGGAAATTAAACATTAGAAGGAGTGGAAGATATTTCCATTTTCTTCTACAAGGAAATATGTCAAACAATCGTTTTACTACTGTAAGTACAAGCCAAGCTCTACAAGTCAAAACATTCTACATCGTTGCCATTTAATTCAACTATTAGAAGGACATAAAATAGGATATTTGTCTGTTAAAACCTAGCTAAGTTAGCTCTGGTCAACAATTAGATAGTCATATTGAAATCTTACGCTGAAAATCTTTTCTTGGTGAGGAGGGAGAAGAAAAATGAGAGAAAATAGCTCGCCCAATCATAGTCAAACTGTAAACAATCCCAGCAACATAAAAGAGCATAACCAAAGCAAGCACCCATGGCATCATTAAAAAGCCAATAAAGAAAGTGACGGATCCACAAAGCATCAAAGCAAAAGAAATCCCCAGAAGCAGAGATGCAAATCCGGCCGGAGTAATTTGCTGCATCGACCCTGCGACAGACATCCTCCTCCCTGAAGAGGATGGAGAATCATCGTAAAACTCAATTGGCGCCGGTGGTGATCGTATAATATTTAAAATCAAAGAAGAAAGTTGTTCTAGAACCTTAGATTGTTGATCCTGTTGCCTTCTCATCATATTAGATTGAAAATTACAGAAGAAAAACAAGGCAAATGGAAAAGACGTGAGGTCGAAATAGAATTATCCCCCCAACAATATATTAAAAGGCCTCTATCTAGGCTTTTTGTTTGCTTTCCTTTTGCCCTGTTTGGAGAATTCAAAAATTAAAAGTATTACTATGGCACATAAGGGGGAAAGAGAGAAAGAAAGTTGCTTTATGTTGAAGGTATAGATTTATGAAAAAGTAGACAAGAAGGAGAAGATAAAGGATTGCCCTAAATTCAGGGTGTTGTACGCAGCTATGGGCGATTGTGAGCATAACTTATCTACATTCACACTCCATCACCATACGTGCATTCCAACACTATATATATGAGCGTGTTTATTGGTAAACATCAATTATGATGTGCTGACTCAACATTTTATCCAAAACCAAAAAAGGAAAAAGTGTTTTCACCCAATCTTTGAAAGTACAATATGAATATGTTTTTTGTAAATAGGAATCGCTAATTCCATTTTCTATTTTTAAGAATGTTATCATTCACTATTCTATGTGATAACGGGTCGTTTGGTTTGAACATATGTTATGTTGAAATAAGTTACAGAAAATGATCAAATGACCCGTCAGTCTTGTAACACTCTGTAATTTCCATGACATATACTAGAGCCTCATATGCTGAATGATGATGTTTTAGATCTAAAATAACATTAGTAAACCTAATTACGATGTATTAGAACTAGGGGTATACAAATCAAATTATTAAGTCAAACCGAATCGAACCAAATCAAATCGAAAAAAACCCGACTTGTGGTTTGGTTTGACTGGTTTGGCGATTGAAAAAAAATCGACCACTCTTGGTTTGGTTTGGTATTAGAAAAAAATTCAAATCGAACTCAAACCAAACCGATACACACACACAGAAATATATATATATATATATATATATATATATATATATATATAATTTATTTTATTTATAGCTAAAAAGTATTATTTATAATGTACTTTGCTAATATATTTTTAATCTACTTTTTTAATATATTTTGAGTTAGTTTATAGTTTAATTTTCAATGTTTATCTATTTTATTTCAAATTTGGACTTGTAAAAATTGTAAATATATTATTTTGTGTTAAGATCCGAAGTTATAATTATATTGTCATAGTTTTCCAAATTCGAAGTTAATAATTTACTTTGTAAATATTGTTTGTATTCAGTTTGCATCTAGCCTTTAATCTTATTATTTTAGCATAATGCACATAGATATTTCAAAAAAAAAAATTTTGTACTCATGTGAATTTGACCTTTTTCAAAAAATTCTTTTCATTTAACATATTTTAAGTATTGTTTATCACACATGTAAGTGAAAAATATTTATCGCTTTTTCAACTGTCGTATAGTTGTAAAAAATAAAAAAATGAAAAATAAAAAAACTCGAAATAACTGACTAAAACAGAAATCGAAAAATTGACTTTATATGGTTTGATTTGGTTCTTAGATTTGATTAACCGACATAATTGATTTAATTTTTTTTAAATAAAAAATTAAACCGAATCGACCTATGTACACCCCTAATTAGAACCAAACGTTAAGAAACAACCTTTACGTTTGGAAACTTGTGCAAGTTGAACTAGGAAACGTCCATAGGTCTTGTGAAGGTTTGGGAGTGTCATATGAATTCTAAAACTTGTAAAAAGACTTTAAATAGGTAAAATTAGGTAAAAAAAAGTCGACACGTCCAGGTCCGACACCCCAAGCATCGCCCTAGGGTCCATGAAAGGACTCCACATTTGGCCGAGCAAGCTGCCAATAGGCAGCAAGCAATTGCTCATGGAGGAAGTCAGTTCACATCGCGGTCATGGCACATCCAAGGCCAAAACTTTGGTTTGCGTTAGGTTCAAAACTTAATTTTGGAAATTTTGCGGGAATAGCTTTGCGATGCGGGCTTGTTTCCTGACGAAAATTTAAAATTGAGAATTCAAGTTCGACTTCATTAAAAGGTCAATTTAAGTGAGGGATCTTTTGGGTACTTTAGAGGATCGGAGGGTTATATATTGATTTTAAATCAGTTTCTCACCACAATTTTCCACAAACCAAATCCTTAAATCAAAACCCATAAGCTCTCACCTCTCTCTACTTTCTCTCTCTATTCACCCTTCATTAAAGAAGCTTTGAAGTTTGAAGAAGAAGAGCAAATCCTCCAAGGTTCTACTCAAATTTCGTGGCTATTCATCTTTAAGGTATGGGTTCTTTCAATCTTGAGATTCTTTTCCCCAAGAGGTCCCTCCAAAAGATGATTTCTAAGTCTCTCAAAATTAGGATTTTTCTCTACACATAGGTCTTCTTTGAAAAATGAAATTACGAATCAATTACGATGAATTATGGTCAATTAATGTTGTTTAAGTATATATTCATGGTTAATTCTTGTTATTCACTCAGTATTCCCATGGACCCACATCTTCCCCCAATTTTATGAAAATCTTGAATTGAGAAGGTGAATTGTGAAGAGAATGAATATGTTGATTAACTATATTGATGTTAATTATGTAATTGCTTCTTGAATTTACCTTAATTATGCATTGGCTATGTGTTCTTTGGTAACTGAAGTATTCAATTATGAAATATGAGTTACTTAGATTGTAATGTCTTTATGTCTAATGTGTGGGTGTGATGCTGATAATGAGTATTCCTCGTCCTTAACCCTAGACTATTGAATTGGTTATGAAATATGCAAGTATGTTATGGTATGATTATTATATGATTGAAAGTAGTTTCTCATGATTATAATAAAGTGTTGAGTAAAAGGTTTACTCACTTATATGTGGTTTCTAAAGTGAAAGGATAGTTCTCACTTATGAGTACCTATGAGCTATTATGGTAATATGTTCACATAGGGGTCTAGAAGAGACTAATGTGATCTTGTATGATAAGTATGATGATTATTAAAGGAAATAAATGCTTAGCACCGAAAGGGCATGTAAATGAGATGGAGGTCTCACGTTTAGTAACTCCGTCCTCTCACATGGGTTTCTTCACGAGTAGCAAGTCCGGATTCCCACAATATGTGTTGTCTCACGAGATAAAAACCTCCACGTTAGTAAGTCAAGGTTTCTAGTAACAATCTCCTTGACCCCTAACTATGTGTCCACATAGGACTCTATCTTAGTGGATCCACCTAGATAACTATGTACGAATGGTTACTCCTTGGGCAAGTGTTAACCCTCTCTTTTCAATGTAGGAGTAGAACACTAAATTCCATGTAGCTCACATGGTCTAATGTCGGTTATTGCACTTATTTCCCTAATGTAAAAGTAAATGAACAATTTGAGTACATGGACTCATGTTAGGGCTTGTCTTGAAGGTTTCTACATGGTGTAAGGGAAGGTATGAGACTTCGCTTGCAAATTGCACTTGTGGGATTCTAAGGAATGGCTATAGTAGTGTTCTTCTTATGATTATGATTATTTTGATAAGCTATGAGTAGTACTGGTGTATTAAGAATGTCATGATGAAATAAGAGAATATGTTTTGTATGTATGAAGTGGTTTGCTTAATGTGATACTTAGATTGGATAGGGTTATGTGGCTCTATCTTTAGCATTGCACAAGTATTTCTTAGGTGGTTTACATGTTAGGTTGCTATTATATTAAATTGACTTACTATGTTTATTATATCTGCATTTTGAGTTAAGTTGATAGAAAACATGATTTTGACTAAAATGTCCTTTTTCTCATGCAGTGATGATTTTTGTGCATAGAAGCCATACTTAGTACGTGTGATGCACTTACTCATATTTATCCCTTCTTTCCAAACATTTTAGGTTGTGATTGTTAAAGAGTTTGTGGTCAATTGCTAGGAAGACTTGGATCTTTTTTCAAGTCATTGGTGAATCCTCATGTCCGGGGATGTTGTCATGTTCCACTCTATGTATGAGACTTTATTTTTTCTTTTATCATTGAGACAATTTATGTAAGCCTATAATGGCGTATTGTTATTGTATTGGCTATGTCTAAACGTTTATACTCTTGTACATGATTTAATGTGATACAAAGTATTAGACTAAATTCCTATGTATTGGTTATGTTGTCTAAACGAGAAGCCTAAGTAAGTTTCATATGCGAGGAGTCTAAGTAAACTCTATATGTAGTATGTGAGAGGTCTAGTGAGAGGTAAACCTCAATAGATAAAAAGTTTTAAATTTCTGCACTTTTTGACCTATGAGCGTAATGACGAATATCAAGAGGCTAGTCTTAGTCCTCTTTGAGGACGCTGACGTTGGTAATGACTAGGGATACTTTGGGTCGTTACAAGTCTACTATAGGTAGAGCTATCGAAATTGGATTGGCCCACTAGGCTAATCCGACCTAACCCTTGAATTAAATAGGGTTGGGCTCAATTTTTCAGCCCATTTAGAAACGAGGCTTGTTAGCCCAACCTCATTTGACCCGCTGATCTCGTAAGCCCAACCAGCAAACCTCAGAGGACAACCCCCGGGCAGTGAATTTTTAAATGAGCAACTTTCACATATAGCAAACACAAAATTCATATTTGTATGTTATAGCAAAGTTTGCATAATTATGCTCCATAACAAACATAAATATATATAGTTTGCTATACATATTCAAAGAAACCAATTGTATAATTCACTATACATATATAAAAGAAAACATTGTATACAAATCAATTGTATAATTTGTGTATGTACAAAATGAGAAAGAGAGAAAGACAAAAGGAAATTGGGCAGGGAAATATTTGTATTATATAATTATAAGTATATAGGACAAAGATATATGTATTTTTTAGTGTATATACATTTTTTCTCACTATACACAAACAGAAACACAATTTATACATTTCATTTTTGTTTGTATAAGCGATAAATGTGAGGGTGGCGAGCGAGATCTAGGAGAGTGGCAAGCAAGATTTGGGAGAGGGGAGAGAGGGAACGAAAATATATGCATATATATAATTCTTTCTCGCTTTATACAAACATAAACACATTTTATACACTTGTGTTTGTATAAAAGTGAGAGGGAGCGAGCGAGAAAAGGAGAGTGGCGAGCGAGAGTTTGAGGGAGAGAGGTGACTAACAAACAGTTTTCTACAAGGTACAATTAAATTAAAGTGTGGCTATAGCATTTGATTTGATTTATTAGTTTGTCGTTATATACAATTTTTTCTTTTTAAAATATTTGTTATATATATATATATATAAAGAAAAATTACTTGGATTAGTGTCTTTAATAAATAATTATTGATTTTAGCGATATATTTTTATTTATGACCATTTATAGCAATACTATGTTAAAGTGAATCAAATATGTAATATATATGTATTTTAACTGTTTTTAAGAATATATTATGCTTGTTTAATAAAAATTTGATACATTGCATTATAAGTGTATTAAAATGTGTGATAAATGTATAATCCATAAATAAATCTTGTATTATATGTGAATAATATATTGTTCTTTTTAATATGAATTAAAAGTATATTATAAATGTTTTAAAGTGATCAAGTGAAAAAATGTTATTGATATAATAGAAATATTTCTTTATTTAAGATATATTTATGCAAGTTTTCCTATATTTTAAGTAGTGTTTTACTTGTTAAGATTTTGTCAATAAATATTTTTAAAATATCAATATATAAATCAAGACTATAGTTTTTACATATCTTACACATTTTAGGATCATTAGCCCACCAAATTTTCTTATTAGCCCAAGTTCATTACTCCATTATAACGAAGAATCTTTGACCTCTTTTACTTTTGTCTTTATGGCAATTTTTCCACTTTTACTTTATTTCTTGTTTATGAAAATAGTGATCATGTAATATTTTTTTGCTCGGATGAAACTTATGAATGTTGTATCTTGGCTATTATGTATTTATTTTGTAAATATTCACTAAAGTATGTGTAATTCATCAACGTTCGTGTTCTTTCAAAGAGAAAAATGTTGTCCGTTTTTCGTTGAAGGGTCAACCCATCCCAACCCGTGGCCCGCTTAGGGCTTGGTTGGATTGCTATTTTACAGGTCCTTTAATTAAAAGGATCAGCCCGTCCCAACCCATTTAACTCTCTAGCCCGTTAGGATTGGGTTGAGTTGGACCGACCCATTTTAACAGCTTTAATTATATGATTTTCAACTACATACTTATATTTTACCGCGGTCGTATAACCCCCTGAACAATTTACAAGTGCAAGTATTTCTTCCCTGAAATGTTGTTACCAGGCATGTGTCTTGTGGTGAAATAAAGGCACTTGACACTTGTATTTCGTCATTTATTTTTTTTTTAAAAAAAAAGTTCTCCCCGTTCCTCTTCCTTTCTTCCCCGGTCATTTCTTCAGCCCTAACTATGATAAACACCATTTTTACCTCAATAAATTTCTGTATCTCTAACAATTTATAAAAATAAAAATTCAAATCACTTTTTGATCTACTCTGGATCTCTAGAGAATAGAAGATAGGGGTCCTTAATCAAATCTTTCATTCAATAAATTCAACTATTTTTCTAGATTTTTTTTTTTACATTTCGTTCAATTTTTCCTTAGGCAATTTCAGATACATATGAAATAGGTCATGAATATTTGAAATCAGATTTAGTGCCTAAACATTCTGTCGACACCTCAAAATCATCGCAGATGAGAAGACCAATTTGAGACTAATTTGTGACACCATTTAGATAAACCCCTCTCTCTTCCCCATTCTTTATTCTTTCTCCCTCCAAATTTTCATGATTAAATTTATGATTTAGGTTTTTATTTTTGATTCTTCATGAATTTTAGGAGAACATGTAGAATCTTTCTTAAAAAATGTAGAAGAAATTGTGTTGTTTTAGTTTCATATTATAAGTTTGAAAATATTTTTTAAAATATACAATTGCTTCACCTTGATTTTGTTGTTCTCGAGTCCATGACTTTAAAAAAAATTATTTAATGGTTATATTTTTATTAAAAAAAAATAGATTTAATTTGTTAGACATGTTCTTAATAAGTATATTGAAAAATTTTTTATTCATAAAATGCATTAGTTGTTGATAATTTTTATACCAAACATCCATTGAAAAGATTTTAACAATAATAATGGTGAAAAATGTATAGTTGTATAGATAAATAAGAAGAAAGAAAGCGAAAGAAAATAAGAAAAAAATGAAATTAAAAAAATAGGCAACTCACTCTCTTAAAGAGAGTGAAATACATTATATATGTCAACTCAACATTTAAGGGGTTATTATTCCATTTTAAAGTAGTTCAATGGGGTAAAAGGACACCCGCGAAGTATAAGTGTGTAGTTAGAAATCTATTAATATATTGAGGGTCATTTGATCATTTTCTCGATAAGTTATAATGAAATTAGTTATAGTGGGATTGATTATGGTGACATTATTTATAATGCTAGGCATCAGACCGGGATGTACCAGTACTGGTTCGATACAATTCATGTTTGTTCTGGTCCAATTGTCTATGGGACAAACCGGGACACCTTGAACCAGTACTTGGGATGGGGCCCTAACAAATATTCATCTCGATAATCTCAATCGGGTTGATCCTGATAAATTTCGATTCTGGTCAGATTATGGTCTGGTAACCCGATTAATTATTTTTTATTAATTAATTAATTTATATTTTAAAATTTTTATATATTAAAAAAAGTTGTTTGTCGGCCTACCTCCTTCCCGCTGCCCCAAGTTCCTCGTCCCAAGACTCCCAACAATACTATTTTCCAGCGTTTTCGTTCTCGAGCTCTCAATTTCAACTACAATATTTTTCAACACATACTTACAAATTTCTAAAGACTATATATATTTCCTCTCTTTATATTTTAATTTCAATTTGCATATATACTATAACAATTAACAATTATTGATTTCTCTCAATTCTCAATCTTGCTCAACATTTGGAGGAGGAATCATCTCCAAACTTCAAGTTTCGACATTAATTTTTTCGGTTATAATTGTTTGTTCTTCATATAAATGTTTCCTAACTTTGTTCCACTCTCTAATCTTATATTTATTTTTTGTATTTATTATTTTAAATTGTTCTTATTATATTTTATTTGTTCTTGTTAATTTCGTACTATATAATTTATAATTTCATGTCATGGAGTTTTCTAAAAAAAGTGTTAAAGATATGTTTACAAAAAATAATAAAGGTTCTACTTCTTCAAAATCTAATTTCCTCTAGTTAGAATGAATACGAATGAATTTACGCATGTGAATTAAATTAGTTTTTCTCATCTCGGTCCTATAAAAATTAATTCGAATAATCCTATAATTTCTTATGAGTTTTTTAAAAGACATTATGATAACTATCAAGAAAATGAAGAAATAAAAATTGCCGAAAAAATAGATTTAGATGATACACCTACTAGTCCCGACCTCAATATTACTGAAGTTTCACCTCTGGAGGACAATCCTCCGGTTGAAACTAGTCGTCCCCCCATTGTTCCAAATAGATGTAAGACAAAGATGCAACGTACTTTAAAATCAAATATGTGGAAACTTTGTAATTTTAATGAAGAAAAAACTTCTAGTTTATGTAATCTTTGTAAACAACCTTTTAAATATAAATTTAATGGAAGTGGAGGTTCAACGGGGGGGATTAGAAAAGCATTTGATGCAAAAACATAGTAAAGAGTGGTTCACATATTTATCTTCTCTTGGTGTTTGTGAAGATTTTAGTGTTGGAGCATCAGCTAGAGGGTCAAATATGGTTCAAAGTCAATTAAATACTTCAAACTCAAGTGGTCCTCTTACACATCGAACCTATAATAAGGATCGTGATTGTGAAATTTTATTGAAATGATTATTGTTTGTGATTTATTTTTTATTTTTGGAGAACATCCAAGTTTTATTGCATATAGTTGTGATACATATAATTCTAGTTTTAAAGTTTTATCAAGAAGCATGGTAAAAAGAGATATTTTTTAATTTAAAAAAAATAGTCATTTTTGTGTGCCTATTTTGAAATAATGGATTGTAGAATTGTTATTACCACTAATATGGGTCGTACTCCTAATGGATTTGATTACTTAATTGTTACTGCGCAATGGACTGATTACAATTGAATTGTTTTAAAAAGGAATTATTGGTTATAAAATTTATCAAGAGAAAAAACTAGAATGTGTATTTGCTACTAATGTGTTGAAAATTTCAGATATTTTCAAACTTCATGATAAAGTCATTAGTATTACTTTAAATAATGCTTCTTCTAATTTAAATGCTATTAATATGCTTGAACCTAGACTTTGTACTATTAGTAAAAATGTTTTTCATATTAGATGTGTTGCGGATGTATTCAATTTGGTTGTCAGTGATGATGTGAGATTATTTGAAAATAGTTGTGATAAAGTTGATAATAATTGTCTCTATATCTTTCATGTGCATAATAATAGTAGATTTAATCAATTTAAAGAGCTTTGTAAGACATGTAAACTTCCATTTAAAAAAGTTTTGGAATATGTTAAAACTAGATGGATTTCCTTTTATGATATGCTTGAAGTTACTTACACATATTGAGAACCTATTACTATGCAATTTAATTGTCATAATGTTTATCTTAAATTTAAACTTAATGATAGTGATTGGAAGGAGTAAATGAATTAGAATATTTTTAAAATCATTTTATGATGCTACTAAATTTTTCGTCTGGAATGTATTATCCTACTATTTCCGGAATTTTAATAAATATATGTGAGATATCATCTCTATTTTTTAAATATAAAACAAATGGATTATTTACAGTTTCTATTGAAGTTATTATTACAAAATTTAAGAAATATTTTTTTCCATCCCTCAAATTCATTTAATTACAAGTCTTTTCAACTCTGAATATAAAGAATATGGTGTAAAATTTTTAGTTGAATGCATTTATCAAAATTTAGATATTAATCCACAAGAATAATTGATCTGGTAACATGTCAAAATAGTGTAAAATTACTTGTTAAGGAATGATATGATAAATATTGTTCGTTAGATAATGCTGTTAATCCTCAAATATCTATGCCTCGAGTAGGTGCCCATGGTAGAGTGAAACATAAACTTATTCTTGACTCTTCTAATAAATATGAATTTGTTAAATATCTTGAGCAAGGGTCAAATAATATTACAAACGAGAAAGGTATATCACAACTCTTGAACTGCTGGTGGGCTCGTGGAACTCAATTTCCAAAACTTAGTAGGATGACTAAGGATGTGTTTGAAATTCAAGATCATCAGTAGCTTTGGAGGCAACTTTCAGCGTAAAAAGATTTCAAATTAAAGACAACATATATTTGTTAGCAGAAGACAATTTCGAGATATCGATGCTGTTTAGAGATTGGATAAATGTTGAGGAGAGAAATCAAGGACTTTCAAAGTTAAATAGTCAATATGAACTTTTCATAGATTCAACCATTCGTTGTGGTAGTGATGATGACGTGGAACTTCAAGATACACTACAAGAAAACATGCGATTAGATATAGATGTTATCTAGAAAAATAAATTCTCTAGCTGAAAGTAACATTAGCTACAAATTTAACTAGAATAATCATTTTACATTTTAAAATCTCGGAACAAAATAGCTTGGAATTAGCTTGTATATTCCCTAGCTAAAATATAGATGCGAATTTTTCAAGCTAAGTTATGCTATATTTTTGCGGGAATACATTTCACCAAAAATTTCCCTAATTTTTTTGGAGGGAATACAAATTGTAACTCCTTCCCTTTCAGAATTCCCTCTCTCTTTTCTTTGTTCTTTTTCAATTAGAACTCTGCCTCTCGCTTAAACAAATTCCCACCATGTCTCTCTTTTCAGGTAAGCTAATTCATTAACGTATATATATATATGCATTCTATGTATCATGTATGTTTGTATGTATTTATGTACCTAGATGTATAGGCTTTTCTAAGTTTGTTTAGTCTGCAGTTAGGATTTTTATATGACTCAGTCACATCGAAATGGCGCGGAATAAAAATTGAGAGCAACTCAGACCCCGACAGGATGCTAACTAATGAGTACCGACCGGTAAGTTTTATCTGAAGAAATTTACTACTCGATTTATTGAATATCTCCTACTCCTTAATCTTCCTCTCTATTTGGAAAAAGCTCTGTATTTTCTCTTTGTATGATCTGTTCACAACAAAAAGTTATTCTTAAAAAATGAGTAAAGATCAAAGTTTATTTTTCATTAAATTTGTTGAAGAATGTGAACACGTACAAAGTTTTTTTCATTAAATTTGTTGAAGAATGTTTACTGAACATGTACATGTATTGTGTTTATGCACTTGTATAGAAAGATTTGTGTTTTCTGGATGATCTATGAACTTATTTCTGGTGATTTGAATGTTAGGTCAAATTTTAGATCTTGTTCTCTACTCATCTATTTGATCAAAATAATTTGATTGGGCAAACACTTTTTTTTTATTTGATGGATGGAGATGTTGAATGAGAGACTAGTGCTGATTTTATTTGTTTAAACTAATTAAAGGAATCATCAACCAATTCTATATTATGCTACTCTGTTAGGAGCTTTAATATGAAAAGATCAAGTTTTTAAGTGTTATTATGTATTTATTGAATTCACATAACCTTATGTTAGGCTTCCGAATAGGAATTCTTGAATAATAATGGATCTTGCTATCTACCGAGAAACTTTCCATAGTGACAAGTATCATTTTAATTGAAAGCGTGGCTAAAATACGTTCACCATTGATAAATATAACAGTGATTTTAGGATAAAAGTTACTCATTCAAAAATAGACTATAAATGGAGTATATGCCTTGATATTTCAGGAGCATTGAAGCCCTCCCTTAACAAATATCTAAAGTTGCTTTCTTCCGCATTCAACTGGTTTGTAACTAAATTACTAAAGTTTAATTAGTATCATAGTAATTTTTTTTCTCATTTCAGTATCCGGATACTTCTATAATCGTTCTAAACTTATTGGGGGCAGTCTTGTTTCTTTATTTTCCTCTTATTTGAAAGGTTGTATAGAATTTTTGTAGTAATTATGTTAAAGATTTATTTGGTAAGCATTTAATATTTCTAATAAAGATACATTAAAGAGAACTCAAGTAAAAATATAATTTGTGAAATAAATGATGTTGGCTTATCTTATGAATTTTGTGCATCTCAAAATTGAAAATCTAGTATATGAGGAAATATATACAAAAGTATCAGTTGTAGTAGCATATGAAGTATTACAAACAGTAATCAGATCAAATCAACAGATGTTGTTAAAACTAAATTTGATATGTCAAAATGTGTTTTTATGGTGATTTATCCCTGCTTATTCTTGAATTTCACAGTTTTAGCACAAATTTATTTGTAACTTGCATTTTTTTGGTCAACATTTCAAATTCTTGAAGTTCAATCACAAAGGCTAATATTGCAAAGTAAATAATGTCTTCGTAGCTTTGTACAAGCATTATGTGGAGGACTTGGAACAAGTCCTCATTAAACATTACATTATCAATCTTAAGTTTCTTTCTTAGAGGGTAGATAATACTACTTTATATTTTTTGGGTAGAAACAATGCAAGCACATACAAAGACTCTACTGGCATATAATGCAAGAACGACAACTTCAACAAGCGGTAGCAAGTCTGAGTACCACTCCAAAGGTCATCAACCAAGAAATGGTAATAGCCCAAATGAGTGAAATATTTTCATTTTGTTTTGCTTATGATTTTGAGTTTATGATTGTATGTCTATTGTCATTATTAACTTACCCTACTAAATGTTGATTAAATTAATGTGTTTGAAATGAATTTCTAATTAGTAATTAATCTTTTGTTAATAACCTATGTGTATATCGATAGTTTACTAAGGACCTACTAAAAGTCAATGAGATGGGGATATGAAATTGTGGAGAGTTCACATACAATTATTTTATGAAAGTTGGATGTTTTTGAATACTTGTTAGTTATTTCATTTTGCCTAGAACTCCTGAAACCTTTGATCGAATGACAATTCTGTCATGGTTCAATTTTTAAAATTTTTTTGAAGTGATCCCAGTATATTGTAATCCTACTGCCATTGTTGAATTAGTGAGACTAGAACCCAACATTGATCGGTTGTTGTTTACTTAGACAGTTTCTCTGCGGTGCTATTTGCTTCTAAAATGATTTGAAATCTCTTTATGGATAATCAATAGGACCTTGTGATGGTCATGTATGTAATTTCTCCTAGAAACTAGTGCGCACAAAGATTGAGCCATGTCATACTCGACTATTGTTAAGCCATATTTTATTTGATTTGATAAATTTTGTTATTTGATTAGTATCTAATTACCTTTATTTGCTTGCAGAGTACATTTATTCACAAAGCATAAACGAAGTGGATGTGATTTGTAGTTGTACCCCAAGGAATGAAGTTAGAGATGGAATGGAAATAAAAATGGATGTAGACAATGTTATTTGTTTTTTGGCTTAAGTCATATGTGGCCCTTTTAAGTTGTCTGCATAATTCATTTAAGCACCTTAACTAAGGTTTGTACCTATTAAACGCTTTAATTATTCAAAACTGTGTGTATTGAGCACAAAATGCTGACGTGGCTAAATAAGTGTATCTCACAGCCTAGTAGCGCGTGAATATATTCCTAATTTTTTTGAAAATAAACTTTACTCTTCTTTTTTTTTATCCTAATCAGCATTAATAATACAACTCAAAATATTTTTTTATTTAAAATAATGTTTTTGACCAAAAGAAAGTAACCCCACCAATCCCCACCCCTGTAGGCTGTACCAATTGTCTTCTTCTTCACCCCATTTATGCACTCTGTTTTTTTTCTTTCATTTTTATTTTTCACTCTTAATAAATTGAATTTGTTAAAAGAACTCGCAACAAGAAACAAATGGGACATCAAAACTATAAGAGCAATATTTGTTCTCTTTATTGATTTTGAAATAATTTATCAAAATAATTTATCTACGTAGATTTTTTTTCCATAAAGAATCTTAACAATCATTCCATTAATATATTATAATTCATAATTTATTTCACTATTTGCATTAGACTTGATTTCAAAAATGATTTGTAACGACCTGTTTAGTCGTTTTGAGCAGCAGATTTTATTTCTGGAAAAACAGGCTGAGGCGACGGACCCAACGACGGACCGTCAGGGACACGACGGACCATCGCAGGGTCTCGTTTCAAAACACTTAGAAAATCTGAAATTGGGTACCGAAAATCGACTCTCTGAACTTCGTAACGGAGTGGCAGAATGGACCGTCACAGGTGTGACGGACCGTCAAAAGCCATTCACCCAAAATCAAGTTTCTGAACTAGGCGACGGACAGCAGGACGGACCGTCGCAGGCGCGACGGCCCGTCACAGCTTGCGTAATCCCAGTTGGAGTCGGATTTCTGGTTAAGTTTTAAGGGACGTTTTTGACTATTCTTGCCTTAATTATAAAGTTCGTGGGTTTATATTAATAACTCAAATTCTTGGGGGTTAAAAGAGGTAACCTTAAGTTAATTAGTGGGGTATTATTTCCATCTTTTATTCTTAATTATATACTAATTAGGGTAAAAGAAAGAGGGTTTGAATAAGAAAATAGAAAGAACAAGAAGGGAGAGAGAGAAACGATCGAGAGAAGAGGAAAGCACCAAGCTTTGAGGATTAACTTGCTTGATTTCAATTCTTCGGTGGAGGTAGGTTATGGTTTTCATGCTATTCGTAGTAAACTCTTAATAGTGAATGATATGTGTTAGTAGTATTGTAAACCCTTTTATATGCTTAATTGTATGCTTGCATGAATGATGTGATTATGTAATTATGAATAAATAAGCATGATGAAGCTATTGAATCCCAAATCTTGAAAAGAAACCCTAATCTACTTTGTTAATGATGATGCCTTGGTATAAAAGAAGGCTTGATGAATGAAAGTAGTGAGATTAGGGGATCGGGTGCCACGTTCCGGTACCAGGATAGTATATGAGGATCGGGTGCCACGTTCCGGTACCAGGATAGATTATGGATCGGGTGTCACGTTCCGACACCAGGATAGAATATGGATCGGGTGCCACGTTCCGATACCACGATAGTATATGAGGATCGGGTGTCACGTTCCGACACCAGGATAGAATATGAATCAGGTGCCACGTTCCGGTACCAGGATAGTATATGAGGATCGGAGTGTCACGTTCCGACACCAGGATAGAATATGGATCGGGTGCCACGTTCCGATACCAGGATAGAATGAGGATCGAAGTGTCACGTTCCGACACCAGGATAGTATATTGAGGAGCGGAGTGTCACGTACCGACACGATGGGAATAAAGATAAGGAATCTTGAAATATGTTAATATATCCAATCTAATGAACTAAATTCCCAAATGAGTATGATGAGGAGGTGTGAGTCCTCATTGATGTGCTTGGTATTGTAACCAAGGGTTATGGTAACTGTAAATGCTGCATGCTAAGGATATTAGCTGATTTTATGATATTGCTTAATACATACTGTTTTCTATTTTGAGTTGACCGATGATATCTACTCAGTACCCGTGTTTTGTACTGACCCCTACTTTTATTGTTTCTTCTTGTTTATTTGTGGAGTGCAGCAAACGTGCCGTCATCTTCGACTCAACAGTAACTCAAGCAAGTCTTACTACATCGGAAATTCAGGGTGAGCTAATGCTTCTAGCTTGGACTGGATCTTCTTCTTCAAGTCTTGATGCCTTGAACTTCCGGCATGGACTAGCTTCTTATGTATTTTTAGCTTCTTAGAATACTCTTAGTTTAGTAATTTGATTATAGATGTTCTTGTGATGATGACTTCCAGATTTTGGGAAATAATAGTATTGAATTGGTTTATTTATGAGTTTAAGTCTTCCGCATTACTTTATGTTGATATTACATTGAAATGTTAAGGTTTAGATTGGTTGGTTCGCTCACATAGGAGGGTAAGTGTGGGTGCCAGTCGCGGCCCGATTTGGGTCGTGACATGATTAATTTTTTCAAAGGAATAGAAAATGAGAAGTAATTGATGATGATGAAGAAGAAGATAAGACAAATGATTAGGTTGACGAACTTGGAGGAGGGGTGGGGGATATTATATTTTTTCTTGTTTTTGTTGTTGCCGGAGGAATCAAATTTGTTGTTGGAATCAGGATGGCCGGTGAAGGGAAGAAGAAGAAAGGTGGGTGGGTGGGTTTGTGTGGGAATGAGGGTTCTCTTTTTTCTCCTTTTTGCTAATTAATTTTTAGGATCTTTAATGATTGGAGTTTTTATTTTTATTTTTTAAAAAATAATCAAATATTCATTAGATGGGGTCCATGTGCCACATACTGCAATTTTATTGGTTACTTTTTAAAAATAGTGTGCGTGAGTTACACACACAATATTTTAAAAGCTTATTATTATTTTGTATTTAATAGGTACATATTCGTTAATATTAGAGTGTCTAATAGGTAGTAGCCTTAGTTGATGTGTTTAAGTGAATTATGAGGATAATTTTAGGGGGCCGCAGATGACTTAAGCCTTTTTTTTTCTTGACATACCTTAAGATAGGACATTGATCTTATTGTACTTTTTGAGTTAAAGGTCACATTTGACATGATTTTAAAGATGCATATATACCAATTATTAAAGATTTATTGGAACTTGAATGACATCTATTATTTTCATCATATTTCAAATTATATACAAAATGCAGTTGTGTTCCTTATCTCTATTTATCCATATATATTATATAGGGATTTTCCTAACAAATTGTAAATAAGAATTAACATCAAAGATTTAGCTATGAAATTAGCTTGGAAGAAACACTAGAAAAGAACCAAGCTAAATTAGCTACGTATAGAAATATCCCTAGCAAATATTTAGCTAAGAGCCTAATAGCGACGGATTTTTTCTAGCGTCATTATCCTAGCTAACATGACATTAGCTGGGGATGTTACAAGTTAGCTAGGAATTTCGTCTCTAGCTAATCACATGTTTTCTTGTAGTGATTGTCAATGAGACTTACCAAGATCGATAGTTGATTACGGTCAATCTATAACTGAGTTAGAAAAAGGTTTTACAGGACTACACAACTATAAGTATTACGTTAGAGACTTAGTTAAAATAAAACTCTTTCTAAAATGTTGCTGCGTAAACTATGAACTCTACTAATAATTGTAAATTGTAATTGTAATTTGTAATACAAATTTAAATAAATTGGATTGATATTTTTTAATCCGTGTCATTGTTCTATCCTTATTTTTATTTAATTTTCTAATATTACAAACTTAAATTATTTAAGTTAAAATTTATAAATATAACTTATGAGTTATAACATATTAACAAGTAAAAATTTATAAACTTCAAAAGATTCAAATCTTACAAACTAAGCTGAAAATATTTTTTAAAAACTTTATTAAACTTAACTTGTAAATTTAATAGGTAAAAGATAAATAAATTATTTTCAAATTAAACTCAAGTAAAATTACATTATAAATTTCAAAACTATTAACTTAAACTTAGAAAAATAAAAAAACATTCATATTTTTGTAATTCAAAAAATTAGAATATTTATTTTTGTTGAAATAGCTAAATGTGTCGTCCCATTTATCCCATCGCGTTCCATTCCGATCCATTTCGATTTCATCCCGGCATATAATGGAATAGGATGAAACCGAGTATCTAGCCAAATAAGTTTTGTCCGGTTTATCTCGATACCGATCAAACCGCCCGTTTGAGTACGGTACCGGTTCGTTTTGGTTTGATGGTTCCGTTGCAGTCCGTTGCCTAGCCTTAGGTTTGTTGTACTAAAAATAATAAGCATTGCATACTTCCTAAAAATAAGTGATTTGATTAGAAAAATACTGTCTTTTTTTTTTTAGCTTTTTGTATGTATATTTTTAGTAGGGTTGTAGTTATTCATTCTTAAACTAAAAAACCTCCACCTTATTCAACTTAATTATTTATATGTATGAACTCACGTGGATTTTCTTTATGTTATTACGGAGGTATCAATGCAGCACTCCAAAGAAAATGGAACTCAAGAATTTCCATTCAAAATCACTATATTTGTATGACAATACCATATGTCCAAGTCCAACAAATGACAAACTTTAACACAATCTTTTGGGAATTGGAAGGGAAGAGGGGACTTGATTTCTTCTACTAAAGAACCCCAGAATATATCTATCCAAATATCCATCACCATAAATTATAGGGATAATTCATAAGTACGCTTCTTTCCCTCCGACTCTGATTAAAATCTCTGAGAAATTCCAAAACTTAACTAAGATTCTATTACCCTATTTGTGTGCACCTTTTATGCTGATGTGACACCTTCTAGCACTCAAGTTGGTTGTGTTTCTACACACTCGCTTGCCATGTGTGATAAATATTTTTTAATTTAAAATTATTCTTTAAAAAAATTCTTAATTTTTTAAAACAATATTTTGTAATTTAATAAAAAAAATCATTTTTTTAAAAATATTCTTTTTTTTATCTTGTATTTAAATTAAGTTAATACACATTTTTTTTTCTTATATTCACTTTTTTCTCTTTTATTTTTCTATTAAGTTTATTTAATTTGTCGTTTTTTATTTGATTTCAAATGTCTTGTATTTAAAATAAGTTAATTTTGAACGGATATAAAA